CATATGTATTTTCTGACTCAACTCGTCGAGTTAAGTTGGAATATAGCAAAATTTTTCAAAAGTTTCGTCATGAGGACCATTGCAATAGTTAGATTTCTATGAAATCTACTAATAAAAAAAGAGTAGAGAATTGAAAAAAAAAAAAAACTAAATCAACTAAAGAAATTTTTTATTTAAATAAAATGGCATCAGATGATCATGTTAATAATTACATGAACGTACTGTAGCTATTGCTAACAAAAAAAGAAGATTCATGAATTGCCTTTGGTAGATCCGATATAATGTGTAATAATCTGGTATTATGACACGTTTAGGCCTTTCAATAGATAGCGAAAACCACCCCTGAGGCGAATTATGCTGAATATTATAGGAATAATTACAGTTAACACGCAGTAGCAGCATTTCATCGATTACCCACACTCATTATTGATTGTCCTCCGTCCACGGAGATTACGTTCCGATGAGTGAATAAAGGGGCAGTCTAATGATTTTAAATGAATGTGATACGAAACAATTATCGAAAATCTAAAATTACTTAACTGAAATATTTCATTTATAAATGTTTATGTTAATTTACGAGGTATTTTTATGATAAACAATTAAATGTTATCAGAATGTAATGACCCGTAACAATCTTGATTACGTGATTAATCTATCTGGGACTGTATTTAATAACTAACATAACACAATACTTAGTTATACTCTCAACACTTTCAATCCCGGTCTGTGGGCAAGGCTAAAGTCGTTCCATACTGCAAGCTGCATACCATTACCAAATCGGATGTACAATGCACAATAACGCTCAATAAATTACAGATCCCAACCTACGCGATTGTGCTCCTCAACTTCCGTGGTAATTGTTATTAATTTAAACTTATTATCATTTGATGCAAGTATAGCAAGGCCGTCTATTGCCGAAATGGTAATTTAGTGTAATTGACCATCTGTAACGAATTTATCATTAACAGCCATTGATATTTTATTTTGTAAATGAATTATAGTGTCTAATTCAAAATATACGTAAATTTTTAAATGTATCCGTGAAAAAGTTTTCTGATATGGCCTTATATGTTTTGATATTACTACTATAAATGACAAAATAAATCACAATAATAAGGTAATAATTTATTAATCTATAAGTTCATTTATTGGATAAATTAATTTTTTGCTTGTGATTACGGCACCTGTCATTAAATTCTTGTACATGGCTTGATCTAGTCAAACACTTTCATATCAGGCTATACATGAAAGTAAATATATAATTTATTAAAACTTCGTAATTTTCATATATTTTCTAAAAATATGTACGACAATTGACATATTTTATTTTAAAAAAATTGTTTAAGGAGATTAAAATAAAAGCTAATATCAGATAAGCTTCTTAAAAGGGTAAATAAAATCTGAACTTAACGCCTCAAACTTAACTCTCTTTAATTTAAGAGAGACAATTCAGCGATCGTCGGAATTTTTCAACATTATCTTAGATCAAAATATTATTTAAGGGTATATTATATCAAATCGTATCAGAATATATCAAGCCAACTATGCTTTAGTATACCCATGTATAACTAACTGTCATATCAGGCCATCTGCCTATATACCTGCATATCAGGACATATTAAAAATGATATATGGGCATATCCTCAGAAATAACAACTTTTCATGGAACAAAAAGTATATTTGATTAAATTTGATGATTTCAGTTGTCGAAAAATTGTTTTTTTTTTTTTTTTTTTTTTTTTTTTATTTATTGATGTACAAGTGATTGCATGATATGTGAGTTCATTCACCACCATATAATTATGATTATTAATAAAGTGAAAATCAAACGTCAATCAATTTATTCCAAATTCAACATTGTTGTGGGCAGGCAGGAAAAGGTACTCAAAAAAAAATAATTGGTAAATTAATCAAGCGGTTTTTCACGAATCGGATTATTAAATTGAAAACTAAATTATATTTTTCATAACACACGCAAAAAATCATTCAAATAAAAAGTAAACTGAAATAAATTTTATTTAATAGTGATGTAAAAATATTTTTCTGAGTTTATAGAAGCAAATTCCACTTTTAACTCTACGTCGCTCCATTAAAATCTAAGTTTATTAAATTTAATTTACAATATTTTAAATCTTTTAAAATATTTTTAGAGTGACCAATAATTATTTACAATGTACAGACCATGAAAATAAATTTTTATCCAAATAAAAAAAAAGTTCAAACGATGAGTAAATGAAAAAAATATTCATCAATAATCAATCTGTAATTAACTATTGATGAACAGGAACTTATTATCATTGTATTTTAATAATTATGTTCCAAACGGATACCAACCACAAGATTGTCACCTGACAACAACGGGTTTATAGAGTTATTAGTCCCAGCCTAGATTGAGCATACTGAACGACCTCCCCTGGCGCGACTAGTGATTGGTAGGACGCATAAAACCATAATATGCATTGTGTTATACGTATGTCACACCTTAGCAATATACTTCAATGACGAATGACACAATCACACTAAGACCCAAGTGACTTATCATTGATAAGTTCAACGTAAGACATAGGCGAGAATGAGAATGTTTGGCGTGTTTTGCCCCGCCCTGAAGAAAAGCTGACTTAGACCCCACAGTACCCAATTGTCTGACTATAAAAGCTGGCGGGATCTCTCTGGAAGAACATATCACCAAGTGTCTTCGACAAGCAGTGGTACAACTAAAAATCCACCATGAACAAATTCGTCATTCTTCTGGTCGCCAGTGTCGCATCGGTAGCTGTAGCAGCTCCATCTGGACTCTACCTAGGCCACCACGGTGCAGCTCTAGGAGGTCCTGTATTGGGACCATCTGCCCTCGCTGGACCTGTTAACGGACCCCACACACTTGCTGGACCTGTCGTTGGACCTCAAAGGATTTCTGGAGCTGTTGACGGTGGTGCTGTCGTAACTGGATCCGTTGCTGGACCATCCGTTGTTTCTGGTAGCGTTGTTGGAGGTACTGCAGTTGTTGAACCTGGATACGGATACGCTGGCTACGGATTGGGACACCTCGGTCTTGGTCTTGGACATGGCTGGGGACACGGTAAGAAATTTTTTTGTTTTACTTTTAAATCACTAATAATTTTTATTTTATTATTTTATACAAAATGCTCTATTTAAAATTTGGTTCTGTTGATTAAAATTTTGTGCATAAATTATTGAACTCCAAATAAAAATTTATGCAATTTTTTTACAAATTTTTCAAGTTTCAAGGAATTTAAATCTAAAAGATAAATATTTATTTACACTAAAAAATGTTTTAAGGCTAAAAAATTTTTCAAATTGATTTTTTTGGCTCAAGATTATTTTCTCTTGAATCAAGTAAATTTTTGTATCAGTGTAATAATTAAAAATTTCTCAAATTTCTAAATACTTAATCCATGATTTAAACGATACACAGTGCAATTGTGACGGTGAATTTGGATTTTAGGTGCTCATGGAGCAGTACTTGCTGGACCAGCAGTAGGCCATGCTGCGATCGCCGGACCCGTAGCTCTCCCAGCAGTAGTAGCTGGCCCATCTGGTAGCATAGTTGCCGGATACGGACATGGATGGGGACACGGACATGCTGGCTGGTGGGGACATTAATTTTATTCACTGAAGACATGTTGACTGTTTAATTTCTATATCGACCTCACGCAAAATAAAGCCATGATCTCTATTATATGTTCTTTACCGCAAATACCTCTTGATACATAAAAAAATTATGTATTTTCATTTGGTGAATGTAGCATATATTTTGTACGATTGAATACAATATGAATTTATAAAACAAAAAAAACAATAATAAATGCATAACTTGATGAAAAATAAAAATAATGTTTTCTCTGATTATTTCCTTCATTGATCAAAGCTAACCAATGAGAAATTAGGTCCTCACCTTTATCATATATCTTCATTTAAAAAAATAGTCACATCAATGAAGTGTAACAATACTAAATAATGAAGACAATTTTTCAAAAGTAGAGTCTTTATAACGAATTCTTCAAGCTGAATTTCTCTCTTTGATGTAATATCAATTGTACACAAGACGTGTCTTGTAGTATACCCAGCTGATTTTTTTCCTATTGCAGAGCTATTGTACTGATAACGCTGAGTAGCTCTACAATAATGCGACATAGCTACCAGAGTAATTGTAAAAAAGTTGCAAAAGCGTAGGTACCAATCAGGCAAGTATTTTCTATGATCATCGTCGACGTCAATATCTACTGATTTTTTTTCTTTTATGCTGTTATTTTAAAGCACTATCAGTTTATTGAAGTGAAGCTGTATGTAAGTGCTTTAATCTTACTAATGAGTTCCGTATTTGAGTTTTTATTTTTGTTACATACTACAACAATAGCTAAAGTTTTATCGATAACTAATTTCAGTAACAATGAATTTTATTGAAGCCTAGCCCTTGAAAGAAATTTCTGATATGGCCATCCATGAGAAAAAAAATAACTTATCATAATTTTTGAATTTTTTTATTTTTACTAGAAATGTATATAGTCTAAGCACTGTATTACTTTTTTCTACAAAATTTGAGGTCGCTGACTGAAATAAGTTCTATCTTACATATTTCGATTCACTAAATCTTAATATTATTTATTTATTTGGTTTGATGCCAAGGCAGTGGCCGAATATCGCAAACATTTTTACGAAAACCGAATTCTTCAATTGTTTAAATGCATTTGCTTAAATAATTGCTTAAAAAATATTTTTTTGGGGATGGCTTACTTTTTTCTTAATATATGGAGCTACACGGGAAAAAATTTACTGTTGCTGCAACAGGAGGCAGACATGTTGCAGCGGCAGGAAAATAATATCCAGAACCTGTCTCTCTTTCTCCAACGTGATTTAGTATAGAGAAATCTACTACGTTAATCAAATAAGGTTAGGTTTTGGAATTTGACTCTTGTGGTAACGGTAGTACTACCTTAACCGAACATGTGCGTTTATGAAACACATATAGTCAAGTATGCGACTATTGTGTACTTCGGAGATGACATACAACGCTCGAAAAGTCAACTTCCAGAGCAGGTGTTGTAAATAGATATTTATGTCATAAGGCCGTGAAGTGGCGGTTTTCTGACAGCGACGATATTTCGATATGAGCTTAAGGTGTGTGGCGGAAAGGTCCGAAACGGGCGCAATTTTAACGTCCGAGGCGTAGCCGAGGACGGAATTTTACGCTTGTTTTCGAACATTCGCGTCATAAACATTAAAGCGAAAATCGAAAAAAAGTCGTTGTCAAAATTGCCATTAAACGGCCGAATGACATACAATATTTTTTGTTATTATCGCTCCATAAGTTTAACTTTTGAGGAATAGGAGGCAAATAATGACATATTTAAATTTTAGAAAGTTTCACAAGGCCAAAAAAAATTAATTTTATATTAATTATCTTTTTATTAATCTTAAAATCTTGCTAACGTTCAGAAAATGTAAATAACTTTTTATTAGTATTTATTTATGGCGCTGTTGTTATTTTATTAACATTAGGTCCGCTTCGTAATAAACTGCCAGCAGAGAAATAATTAGTGCCACTTAATAGTAACTAAGACTAAAAATTATCGGTCGGTACGCTAGAATGTAACTTTTTTTACAGTCTCTCAATTTCGTCTGGGTGTACACGAAAAGTTCGTAAAAAAAAGGAGGGGGTAAAACTTCACGGCCTAGGCCGTGAAAAAAAAACGGTATGGTAGAGTCTTTAGAAAAGAGACCCTTTACGGACGCCACCCAGCGCTCAGAAGTTGAACTTCTGGAGCGAGTATAACAAAAAAACCAATTTTCTTTATTTGAAAAATCTACTTCCATTTCGGCTGCCGAATGGCCTTTTTTTTATTCAGGGTTAAGAAAAAAAATTAATTTTCTTTAATTTCGTTTTCTCGATTTAAAATTTTATATAATCAAGCCAACCCTGTTTAAAAATATTGATTGAAAAGGATTAAAGATGATGAAATTCGAATTTTTTTCGAAAATTTCAATTCTTTTGTTTGTATATGGGGCATTTCAAGAGTCCCTTTACGGACGCCACCCAGCGCTCAGATGTTGAACTTCTGGAGCGAGTATAACAAAAAATATATTTTCGATATGGTTGTTATATATAAGCGATTTGTCATTTGATGCAATGTCATCATAAACGGTTTTGACTGTATATGGGCATATCAAGTCATATCAGGACAGATCAAGCCATATATGGCGCCATATCAGAATATTTTTTTACAGGAAAGTAATTTATTTCTTCATTAATATGGTAAAATTAATTACAATCAGGTATCAGCGCAAATTTTATTCGAAAAGAAATCGAATCCTAAAATGAAAAAAGAAAAAAAGTAAATAAAAATAAAAAATCTGAGCATTGGATTGTATGATATCACAAGTATTGCTTTAAAAATTTTTTTTAAATTCTTTATACCGATAGGGAAGCGGTAGACAAAGTTCATCTGTTGTGGTATACGGGATGCATTAAAAAATCGATCCTTCACATTACAGCAAAACAAGGAAATGAGAGAATTTCGTGGAAAAAAATGGAGAATGTTTCTTGTTTCATACCACTTGAATAACGGAAAAACTTTCCAAATTTTATGAATAGCTGAATTATCAAAGAAAAAGACGGGTTAGGATAGCTAAGAGTAGATAAGTACAATACCAGAGTAAAGATCGTAATCAAAGTGGTTAAGGAAAAAATATTCTGCAAAAAAATACAACGAATATTTATCCCAATTCAGAAACTTTCTTTGAGTAACGTAAATACGTGCACGGATAAAATTTAGAAAATCAACAGAACTCATGCACGTGATGATGTTAGAAAAACTAATGCCTACAGCGCTTTACAGTCCTAATTGTAAATTATACATTCTGAAAACGTGCTGCAGGTTATACATTTTACACTAAACACACTGTAAAAATACGACTGGTACTACTGTGCACATAATGTGAATTTTGATACAAAATTCTTTTTGTATGGTTCTTGATTTTCATAAGCTAAAGGGATATTGTTAGTGTAAGGATAAAAATTAAATTAATTCATCCGATACTTTCTTTACATATAATAGTCTTTAAAATTGATTTCTAGTTATTAAAATTACGTTCTATAAAAAAATTAATATATAAGTCAGATAAATTAATAAATAAATAGAAAGATTAATAAGCAGAATTTTTTCACCTATTCAAAGTTAAATTGTTTGTTTGGCCAACGAAAAATTGAATAATTTGTAAAACATTGACTAAACATACACAGAAAAAAAAATTAACTTGATTCAAGAGAAAAATTCTTGAACCAAGAATATAGTTTTGAAGAGGGTAATTATCTTGAAACAAGACGAAAAATTCTTGAATTAAGTAAAATTTCCTTAAATCAAGAGAAATTTTCTTAAATCAAGAATTTTTCTACTCAAACCAAGAACATTGAGCTCTTCAAAAATATATACTTGATTCAAGAACATTTTTTTTTCTGTGTAAGTGAATCATCAATTTTATGTCTTAGACCGTCGGAGAATTAATTACCGTACTTATTGATAAAAAAATAAACGAATATACTACACAAGTTAATTTTCATTTAATGGATGTATCAAATATAATATTACTATCGAGAAATTTTAATTAAAATGAAATTCAAATTGATGATGCGCACCGATCGCTAATTACATACTTTTGTTTTTTATTGGAAATTTATATTAACCAAACTCTGCAACGATCGCTCAAAGTTTAATGAAGCTTCAATAAAATGTGAAATTCAATAATTAGTGGTGACAGAGATTTAACAGAGCTGATATTTCATTCGTGAATAAAAATCAAATTTTTTTATTATTAATTAATGTAACTTTATATGTGAGCTAGTATCGATAATTATTAATAATAACTGTGATGATTTTGACATTCAATGTACTTACGCAAAATTTTTTTTTTTATTAAAAAACGAGAACAATTGAATGTTATTAAAAATATCTGTGTACATGTATATGATTTAAAAAAAATGATTGAAGTAAATACAATTTTATTTACCTAAAAAATGAGGATAAGATAATTATCATTATATAAATAAATGTTTCCCCCTTACAAAAAAGTGATCAAATTTTTCTCCTTGTTAAAATTGAATTACTAATGTAAACATTGTGGACTAGGAAATTATTTTTTATCTTATTGGTATTTTCTTACTAACAGCGTTATTGTCGCTCCCTATTTCCGTTGCAACAATGCTCTTTTTAAATGATATTTTAAAAATTAAATAAGGAAGAGTTGTTTTTTGTTTAATATGACAAAAGAACTAATTCTTAGTATACACTTGACCTTTATAGTTACCATATATCCGATCGCTATACAATAATTAGGGAAAAATTTTTAAGTTATTGTAGTTATAATTTTTTCAGAACTTGTTTAGAATACTGCAAAATAAAAAATATTTTTTATAGAAAATTTTTTTGCGAAAAAGTCTCTTATTCCATTATAATAAATACTTTATAAATTTTCAGAACTATGTTTCCATAAAATTGATTTTTAATGTATTTTAAATTTAAAAAATGACCTGACACTTTTCAGCGCTGACAGCGATATTTTTATGCACTTTTGACGCGCTCTAGTATTTAATCAAATAGACGTATCAA